CTCAGGAGCACAAGTCCTAAGCACGAGGGGGGGTATCCCGTCAGGCCCACTCGACTTATGAATATCCAGAGATTGCAGCGCTTTCCGCACTGATCTCTGGATAAACTGGATTTCGGACATGGAGGTCTGGCCGCGTGGGACTATCGGCGGCGAGTTACCTTTGTCATCCAGAGTCGAGTTGGCCGCAAAAAGAGAGCCCAGGAGATCGGCTTTCTCTTTTGCGGTGTGGGCCAACGAGTCGTCCCCCCTGCGCAAAGATGGTAGGGACGGCTTACAGAAGTTCCCTTGGACAGCCTTGGCAAGAGACCAGAACGCGCGAGTTCCCGAAGGAAGGTGCACTAGCCTCTCACCAATGCTGGCCACGTGTTCTGACTTTGCCTTGGCAATCACTCTTTTGAAGGACCTGGAGGCAGAGTTATACTTCTTTTTAAGCTGGCTGGTATTTACATCCCTAGCTGCTGATGCCTCAGCCCAGGCTCGATAACAATCCTGCTTGTAGCGCGCGGCTAATTTGCAGGACCTACCAAACCAGGGCCGAGAACTGCCCCCGATGGGCACAACAGAAGACGGAATAAAAAGATCCATCAATCCAAACCCCAGCCCGGGGCAAAAAGGAGTGTTCCAGTTTGTATCCGGGGCAGGATAAGTACGATGTGTCCGCCGGAGAGGATATCTGTGTCTCGGTAAGAAAAAGCAAGGCCGGCTTGGCCGTCCGGAGATGGTAATGAACGGCCTCCAAGTTGGAATGGAGTCCCCTGATATTGCAGAGGTCCACTGCGTGGGTGGCAGGGGGTGGAGGTGCCTGGCCTCGTTTGCCCCGGCCTCTACAGCGAGCGAGCGGAATGTTGCCCCCCCCAGAATACGCAGGGCGGCCCGCGCGCTTACCCCCAGACTCCAAGCGAGAGTTCAGGCGTAAGCGCGCGGAGGGGGATTCTCCAAAACCAGGGGTTTTGGTACCCCCCTGGGGTACTTTCTCTTTTAATCCCACTGCCATGCTGTATTAAAGGGGGGGGGGGAGGTTGGGCCTCCGGGACCACACTCATCAGACGAAACGCGGAATTTCTTCCACTTCACGCCTGTTTTCTGTGTGGTGGTGGTATTTCACCGGGCGAACCTGGCCAATTCGTGCGAAGATGTTAAAGCGGGTTCTACCACTCTTAAAATAGAGTGTACATAAAATATAAGACTTCACTTTATTCTTATGATTACGATTTATCTTTAAAGTTTATTTTTGCTTATATTTGTTGGATGCTAATATTTGATCAGTCAACAACGACAACTTCATATGTTTATATATCGACGGTTCTAGAAGTAATGTAAGAAATCCATTACCGGTTATAGTGAATGAATGTGTACAGTGATACAGTTTTGAGTGAGCAATGTACGTTGTTGCAGCGTGACGCATCGCCGCGAGCTGCCCGCGCTCCGCAAGCAGCTCTACCCCGACCGTCTGCCCCCC